AGTGGTCATACTGTAATTTGAAGTAGGTGTCACTTCTCTCTCCCTTTATATGTGGAGAAGGGAACCTGAGAGTAGTGAACAGACACCCCCCATCCCCCCAGGTCTAAACAGTTCTTGGCAAAGGGAGACAGCAGATCAAAAGATGCGGTGCATTGAGGACATCTCAATGTCTGGGGCATGTTGCCACAGTTAAATGTCATTGAGTTGTAGACAGCTCACAGAGACTCTCATCAATCCATTGTACTGGTAATCTTCTCTGGCATGTCCAGGGAAACTCTATCCTACCGCCCTGTCTCTCACCACCACCATCTTGGCTCCAAGAATTCTCCCCAGGACCATTCCACTCTGCTGTGGTATGGTGGCTCTGCTGCACCAACCTCGGTGGGGCCTGGTGCCTACCATCCAGCTTGGGTGAGGGGCTCCCTGGGGTCCAGCGGTGGAAGCCTCATGGAGCTGGGCAGTAGCACGGGCTTGGCAGCAGGGGGCCAGGAGCCAAAGGACTCATCCACTCCTCCCTGCGAATCCTTGATCTACTGATGCTGAGCCTCGACCCTCACTGAAGACCAGTCATCAAGTGCTTAACTGTTCAATTATCAATAAACAGAGGTCTGTAGAAGGCCATGGTGGCCTTCCTCCATGTGGTCCACTGCTCCCACGGCTCGCCATGTTATTGCTGCCACTGCCGCCATCTTGGAATCTGATTCCAGATCTATTTTTTATAGGGTTGCTATGAATCATACTTGATTGAATGTCCTATATCAGCAGCAACAACTACATTGATAATCAGAATAGATATTAGAAAGCAGGATAAATTTTCCCCACTGTTCCTATTAACTCAGAAATAATGGAAATAAAGTCTGAATATGTGTAAATGTCATTAAGAGAACATTAAACTGCATACAAAGAACTGAGTAAAATGATTGTTAACCATTTTAATAAACTATTAATGACCAAAGAGAAATTACTTGCTTGACACTTTTCTTCCTACTCAAGAGGAAGATGAGATTAAAAAAGCAAGAGAAGACCGAATGGTGAAAGAAGGAAGATAACGTAAGCTCACACAACTCATGGTCTTTTGAGGCAGAATCTACTCAGCTAATCCTCCATGACTATCTCTTTTGTTGAGCAGCTGGTGAAGTTTAACCCCAAAAGGGTAACTTCTTTGGGTTAGTAGAACAACTCTCTACCCACCAGGCCACCAGAGTTCTGGTGAGACATTGCAATGATCATATCTGACAATATTTATTACAAGTATTACAAGTGTGAATACTACTGGGTAATAATGTGTTCACTTACCTTCAAAGTATAAGATCATCAACCACAACAAAGCAAAAATGAGAAATAATTTCACATTTTCATATCAAAATTTAAATTGGAATACACCTCTGTTAACTTAGGTAAGATAAGCAAAGTCAAAAGCCAAGACTTAGTCCTTAAGTGGAGGTAAAAGTCTGTGGATATCAGGGAAAACCAAGGAGTAGTTTTCAGATTTTCCTATGTGCAGCCTGGGTAGAACTTATTTCAGGAGACTCTCACAATAATCGACATGGACATAGTTGTAAATTCTCATAGTCTATTTTTAAGGACTGTCTGAAAATAGAAAATGAAGACAGATTTGGATCTGAAATGACATTTTCATAGTTGAGAATTATTATTAGGACCAATGGGTTCATTGGTTGGTTTAAACTAAAAGATTTAACTTAAAAATTGAAGGATGTAAGCATGACTGGAATGTACTGATGCTGTCAGAATTTCACTTAATTACTGTTTGGTCAGTGAACTACAGTCTTTTCTCCTTCAACTTCCCAAATAAATTGTATTCCTTTAGAGCCGATTTATGTTTCCCAGCATAATGATACGTTTTACCCATTCAACTATGCTAGTGCTCTCTGAAGGCTGCCAGCAATGATCTCACCTTACCTACAATATAAATCTATCAGCAAATAAACAACATCATTTTTATTTCAGTATTGATGACACACTACATGTCGACTTGACAGCTAAATAATTTATCTCTTTTTGTTGGGTTCTATCTGCCAGGCTTATTATAACTCTGCTTCTGAAATTCATTGCATGTTTAATAGTGCTTTGCTTCAAGAGGATGGTTGTCAATCAATTAAATTAAAATGCCATTCTGACCTTTTATTGGAAACAATTTATTCTTTCTTCATTTCATCATAGGCTTCCCCCCCCCTTTGATTCAAATTAAAGTCTTAATCACTATTCGTTCAGAAACTTTTTACTAATTAACTTTACACAACTACACATTCCTCAACATTAATGAAACTCTATCTTTGCAGAGGTCATCCAACTGAGTCTTCCTGAAGATCAGAAACTAAGCATTACTGCAGCAACGGTGGGACAAAGTGCTGTCTTGAGCTGTGCCATTCAGGGAGCCCTGAGGCCCCCAATCATCTGGAAGAGGAATAATATTATCCTAAATAATTTAGATTTGGAAGACATCAATGTGAGTGCATGACTATATTTTGCCTTTAAAAAATTATTGCACATGATGCACACTAGGTTTTGTGAAGTATGAGGACCTTAATTAATATTGGCTGTAAAATAAGTGATAGTTATTGGAACAATATATCCATTCTAGCAACTTAGATACGCTTTATAAGTCATTTAAAATTACCTAAACCATCTGTAATGATTTGTTCGGCAGTTTATGTTGTCATGTATTGGTAGGAGAATGCCATTGTACAAAGTCTTTTAGGAAATGGCTATTAAAGTTTAAAATGAAAACACTGTTACATATCAAATCCACATCTGGGAATTATTCCTCCAGATACACTTACATGTGAATTTAGATACATGGAAGTACAACTAATCCCCTTTAAAACCTTTGTAAAAAAATTAAAAATATCAATGGAACACTGAATGAAATGATGAATATGTAGTATATATACATGTATACATATACAATTTATTTATTTTCATTGAAGTAAAAAAGGATTTATATGTATATGTATATATAAAAGTATAATGTATTTATTATATATAGATAATATATATCCTGATATACAGTCTTCCTAATCATCTAGAAGCAAACATCCTATTCATAAATATTTTCTTAACGCCAGTATAAGTTTTGTGTTCACTGACAAAGGATAAAAGGAAAAAAGTATGGAATGTAGACTTAATTCCAAGTGATAGCCTGTTGTACTTTTTGCATTTCTAACATGAATTCATATTTATTTTTGCTAAGGAAATAGTTTTCAAAAAGCATATTGTGTTGTACCTATTTACTGACATGTTATATTTGGTATTATATTTCTTAACACCTCAAAAACACAATTGAAAATAATAAAAAAAAAGATAACACTATTTTGGAAATGTCCTGGTTTTAGTTGGTTTCTTGAAGGTCTAATTCCCATGTGTAAACTATTAAGTATTTGTATCATTATTGTTGTTGTTGATTGCCTCTGAGTTGAGCATGACTCATTATGATCCTATGATCAAAAGGCTTGAAGCCCTTCTGCAACTATTGATATTTATCAAAGAATTTCCAGAGACATGGAAAGTGGATGTCACATAGTGGCTTACAAAACTGAATGTATATTTATGAGTACTCTTGATCTAAAAAAAATTCCCTTGTAGGTCATAACCTAGGGAAGAGGTAGGTTGATACAACTGTAGTTGCATGATATTCATTAAAATAATAATTCAGTTATAACACAGCAAACCACTCAAATCAATTAACCTAGATTATCATTGACTAGCTGTGGGTAGTATCTCAATATATAAGAGGAACATGGAACAAAATTGAAAATTATCCCAATTACTCTCTACCATAATAGTTAGCTATATTTAGAAATGATGTGTGTTTGTTCATGCCCTGTGACTCCCAGAATTACCAACAGTATCGCTTTTATGGTTGTGGAGTTTATATTTCAATATGGCTTTACTAACCAATCTGCCCTAACCACTTGGATGAGTGGAAATGGAAATGTGCATATAGGGCATGTTAACCTATCCACAAGGGGATTAGCTATGTGCCATTCCACAAGGAGATTGGACAATCTCGACAGTCTACAGGGAGATTAGCTAGTCTCACCAATAAATTAAACAGCTCTAGATGCAGATAGAAATCTTTCTAAAACAGTTAAGAGTAAAGATATCTTCTGCCAGTACCAGTTGAGAAAACTCACCACCAGGAAAAGAGCAGCATGGATGAAAAGGATACCTTAAGTGATATGACACCAGTGGGTGAGGGAAAAACCAATGTTGGAAGGATGGAGAACTTTGTTGGATAATTGGAGAGGGAAAGCCAACATTGGCTGGACTTAGAACTTTGGAACAAGTTGTGAGGCTCAACTGTGACGTGACTGCATGTCTGTTCAGGGAGCTGTCTGATTGTATTCTTTTATTAATCTGGATTGTAACCTTTTGATTTACCCACAAGGATTCAGTGTGATCTGTGAGTTATCATATTGTATTTTAGACCATGCAAAGCAGTACGATCAATTCTGAGAAGAGTAGAAAGAAGAATGCAGATGTGGGAGACATGTCTGACCTCAGTGGAATTGGCTTTGTGTTATTGTTACTGTGGATGGGACAGTTGCCCTTTGTGAAGCTGAAAATGGTGACACATGGCAATTACCATGTGGCCCTTTCTGTTTTTACAATAACTGAACATTAACCTATAGTTTATGGAGTATTAGAAAAGTAGTTCCTGTTTCAAGTATCTCATAATATATTAGACATAAAAGGTTAATATTAACACAAATTCATTACTAGCAATTCAGTATCTAAATACAATTAAATAATCTAAAGCTCCAAAGCAGAAGCAAAAGCAGCAGCAAATTCCTTACCATTTATGTTTCTTTTATCTTCTGTTGAGTGTTGAAAGTGAATATCAAAAGAAAAGGTGAAATAAATGAGAAAACAACCCTGTGGTTATGGAGCATCGAAGAACATAAGCATCACCAAGCTTTGCCATTAACTCATAGAAACACCCTGTCAGGTTTACAAGGCTGTGTCTTTTTTATGGATCAGTTGTTGGTTAGTGTACCCATACACTGCACACTATCTTCTAATGGATGGGCAAGAAAAAAACGGAAATACACTTTTATTTTATTTTAGTAATCTGGGGATTATTTTTTATATAAGTGCTGCTTATTTTTATTATTATTTTTTAAATTATTACTTCTCAAGAAAACTATCAATTTTTCACTAATTCTTAGCTGTTTCATGTTTTTAGATGCCATCAAATCAAGTCAAATTCATAGCATCATAAATTACGACCCTAAAGTACAGGACCATGAAAGTCACCTTTACTTGTTATAGCATCCTAATAATCCTGTGTATTCATAATAGTACTAACTAAAAACAAAACCTTTAATTCATTTATTTATACTTTTCCCTTAAACAAAATATATTCTTAACATCAGGTGTCATGGAATTTACAGTTATGACAGTATTTGACAGTGACATTTAATAAAATCATACTGGGAATTGGGTGTTCTTGTAGTATAGTCTGTAGAGCTGCCAGACATTTTTTTAAAAGTACTCACTTCTAGACACTTTTCTCAAAAAGTAGATATGAAATAATGTTTAACTATAAGGAACAGTGTGTTTTAACAGATAAAACCTCAGGGGCATTTAACTTCCTTTGAAAGATAAAGTCCTAGAAAAGCCTTCCAGCATTTCTTTATGAGTTTGTATGTCTACATTTTACATTTTCTTTCTCTTATTTTCATTTTTACTGTCAACCTGTCAGCTATTACTTACAAAAAAGCCATTATTTCTAATATGCATGGTTTGAACAACCAAAGAAATTTCTTTGAATTATTTCAAAAGTAGCAGAGAATAAGTCATGAGTGGTAGGCCGTGAATTAGTTGTAAAAGTTATGGTTTTGTGCATGATCTTATAAGGCTGATTTTTCCCCATGTAAGTTACTTGAAATTAACAAAAGGTCCTCTAAATAAACTACCTTTCATAAAATGCCATATAGATAACAAGTGCTGAGTTATACAAGTTGATATTTGTCAATTATTTGCATCGTCTATTAAGAGTAGCTACATTTTATATTATTTGAAAGGAATTTTCAGTATTCAAATAGTTTGGTGGGAGTTTTAACTACAATTAGTGAAATTGAACAAATTCATAATCTATAGAGTACATAAAACTACTGTTGTTGTTGTTGTTATGTGCCGTCGAGTCATTTGCGACTCATAGTGACCCTATGTACAACAGCCCCAAACCCTGCTCTATCCTGTGCCAATTGCACTGCCTCTGACACACCCATCCTGATTACCCTAGTCACTATAGTCACTAAATCAATCCATCTCACAGAGGGTCTTCCCCTCTTGCGCCGTCCCTCCACCCTCCCAAGCATGATGTTCCTCTCCAAGGACCTGTCCCTCCTTGCAAAACATGCCCAAAATATGTCAGATGAAGCCCCAGAATCCTTGCCTCCAAGGAGTAGCTTGGTTTAACCCTCTCTAGGATGAATCTTTGTTTTATTCGCAGTCCATGGTACATTCAATATTCTTCTCCAGCACCACAGCTCAAAGGCATCAATTTTCCTTCTGTCCTCCCTAGTCATTGTCCAACTCAGATGCATAACAAGTGATTGCAAAGACTATGACCTATATCAGGCACACCTTAGTCTCCAGAGAGACACCGTTTCTCTTGAGTACTTTAGAGAGGTCATTAACAGCATATTTTCCCATTGCAATATGTTTTTTTATTTCCTGACTGCTGGTGCCAAGAGTGTTGACCATGGAGCCGAGCTAACTGAAGCCGTGAACAATCTCAATCTCTTCACCATCCATCCTGATGCTACCAATTGGTCCAGTGGTGAGAATCTTTGTCTTCTTGGCATTGAGCCTCAGTCCATACTGAAGGCTGCAGTCCTTGACCCTCTGCAGCAAGTGCATGAGGTCCTCCTCGGTTTCAGCAAGCAGGGTTGTGTCATCTGCATATCGCAGAATGTTAATAGATCTTCCACCAATCCTGATGCCACAATTCTCCTCATAGAGCCCAGCCTCCCGGATAATCTGCTCTGCATGCAGGTTGATCTGTGAGCCAGATGACCATATGATATATTACTCCGGAGATGAAAAGATGAGGAAAAATGCGGTTGCCTTCATAGTTAAAAAAGTAATTTCTAGATCCATCTTGAAGTACAACATTGTGAGTGACAGGATTATATCCATACGCTTACAAGGAAGTACGGTGAACACTACTATCATTCAGATATATGCACCAACAACCAGAAGAGATGATTTCATAAAACTACTAGCCTTTCAAAATGAAAATTGCAAAGAACATTCCAAAATACCTGTAAATGATGGGGGTTTTTTTGCTGTTGTTATGTACCATTGACTGGCCTGCAACTTATAGTGGCTCTATGTGTGTTAGTTCTGAAACCTGCTTAATTCTGAGCCACTCTCATATCTCCAGTTGACCTAATTCCTTATCAATAGTCACTGAATCAGTCCATCTCATCCTGGATC